AACTTCGAACTGTACTTAGTTGTTCTTGAGCATTGCCTCACATTTCCACGGTTTTCTAGCTGTTTCCCTGATTGCCCACCTTGATTGGTTTATGTTTTTAATTTTGACCCAGGTCGAGTTTTCCTACCCTAAGTTTTCCGTAGTTTTGCAGCCATGGCCGATGTTCCGAAGAAAGAGGAATCCTCTCAAGAGGCCTCGTCAGTGAAAGAACCTGAGGCAGACGCCTCAGCACGGCAGATGGTGCCAGATGTGCTGCCCCAGGCGGCACTCGGCTCGGGAAGCGTGGAAGTTTCGGCGGCAGACTTTGCTGCCTTTAGGGAATGGCAGGAAAAGCAGGCCCAAGCAAGACAGGGCAATCCAGCAGCGCCTTCCCCGCCGAAGAAGCAGAAGGTTGAAGATGAAGAAGACATGCAGGAGTTCCAAGCTCAACTAGTGGAGCTGGATATCAATTTTGCTGACCTGGACCCGGAGCTTCAAACCAAACTCAAAACCTCGAAGAATGCTCGCAAGGATTTTTTGGCTATTCATACAACAGATCAGTGTTACAACCCTACAGATGGTACTTGGGAAGCCCAGTCTACAGCGAAGAAGAGAGATTTTGGAAGTACCGTGGATAGATCGATCCCCAACCTCACCGCGGAGGACAACGTGCAGCAGGCTATGTTACAATATCACCAGCGCAGCGTTCTGCCTTCCTTGGATCAGCTACACCTTTGCTGCGACAGTTTTTACAAGATGGCGCAACACGAATTTTCAGTTATTCAGCATTCTCTTGAAAGACATGCCTCGCAGCTGAACACCCTGGAGCGAAGCAGGGCTAACAAGACTATTCTTCTTCTGGATTTGCCGCCCCTCTTCAATAAGAAAAGCCTGGACACCAATATTGGATATTATCTGCAGGCCACCGGCCTTTCCTGGAATGATGTCGCCGCCCTTCACAATCACATGGTCAGTTCCCACTCTGCAGTGGTACGCCTCGAGTTCGTGACGGAGACGCAGGCCCAGACCTTCCGTGATACCATGCGGCAGGGCCGCCGCTACTGGAGAGACCCGCAGTCACAGGACTGCAAAATCCGCGTCGAGCAGGACCAGCCAACTGA